AAGTGACTAAAACGGGGACCTATTAATATATCTACTGTAGGAAGATCTAGTTTTGGAGTAAATTAAGAATTCTAAATTAAGATTTAAAGAAGGAAAATGTATATGCATGCAAGGGGAGATATATAGAAAAAGAGGGGCAAACAATGATAATCAGGGTTTCATGTTTTTGAAATTGTACTTAACAAATGTAATGTTTGGATGATGTGCATGTTTACAACATAATATAAATGGCAATGTTGCTAACCTGAAGTAAGCATTTTTATTCCTGGGTAGGGTAGTTTCCAATACCTCGTAAGAAAGACGGTCTATCTGACTCACCAATAAATTGTATGACGGGGCAACTTTGGTATACCCTTCGGGCTAAGGTCGGGTGAAATATTAAATGGAAAGTTAGGCAGAATAAACAAATACGAAGGTACTAGGAAACTATCTCCGTCAAATATCGTACATACATTTGGATTACAATAAAGAATAAATTATACCAAGCTCGTAGGCATTATGGCATGTTGCGCATTTAATTATGGGATGCGTAATGCATTTAAACTATGTTCAAAATAAAGAGCTTACGACTTGTTCTAGTAGTCAACTTGTGAGTGGCAGCATCTCATTTGTAATTGTGATAATTCCACAACCTTAAAAATGTTTAAACTCTATGCCATCATTGATTAAGTGTTTCTAAACTTAACAGTTGCCAATATAAGCTTTCGTATTTGAGAATTACGTTAACATTTAAAAGTGTCTGTGTGCATTAATCGCCCACCCATCACAGTAATTCCAATTCACAATCCTTGTAAATGCTCGTCTTTGTGTCAGAGCTATTGCTTGGAAATGAGGATGCACGCGTAATAGAATACACAACCATTCTTAAATCTCTATTACAAATCTCTCTTATAAATATTTACAGCATATTATATAGATAAAGAAGGATAATTTCTGATACATATACTAGACATTGCATTAATATTATTTTTTAATAAAAAGGAGCGGTGAAAATTTAAGCTGTGCAGCGATGATACTCTACCTGCGTTTTTCTTTCTTACGTTGGAGTACATACATGCAGTTCAGTCAACTTTTTGACTTTACCTTTATTCAAATACTAAGCCACTTTTTTATTTTATTTTATTGTGAATGTGAACTCTTAGACATTCAGTAGACTGTTGTTTCAAGACGGTAAATATTTAGTAGTAAAATCATCATATTTTCAATCATGCTGTATATAAAAAATAATCTTTTGACGTAACATTTCATAATAAAAAAACAATATTTCTCTCCAAGACGTAAATAATAACACTTTCGAGTTCGAAATATCCACTTCCGATAGCTCCTCAACTGCTGGAGAGCTGCGTGCCCGCGAGAATATCGCCCCCCCCCTGGGGCGCTTCTAATTTGCCGCTGGCCCTCCGCGCCGCGTCCCTTCTCCGCCAGGCGGCGCCACGGCTCAAGTTCGCGCTCTCAGGAGGCGCCTTTGCTAATTGCCGACTTCCAGCGGGAACAATCACATTGTCCCGGTAAGTCTTCTTTTCGCTCTTAATGCCAGTATTTATCTTCTTAATTAACCAGGTAGGCTTTCAATGTCAATTTTTCAAATCTCTTTATTGAATACAGTGGAATTGGATATTTTTCAAAATTCGGAAAAAATGGCCTAGACTTTAATTTGGCAGTCTTTCCATTCAATTTCGTGAAATACATGGCTCTAACTGACTTGAAATTGGGTTCTGGCAAGAGTGCTTGCTAATTCGTTATACACAAATAAGCCAAAAACATAAAAAGAGATGCAACAAATGAAACTGTAAAACAAGGAGGACAAATTAAAAACTACATGGAATAAGAAATTTGAACAATGCAATGTTATTACAAACATTTTGAGTTAAGTTAACTAAAGAATGTCATTTAACAAACGGGTTTAATGATCAGTTTGATATACTTCTGAATCATTATGTTTTAATTACGAATTTCATTAGTGAGCGACGGCAATTTATTCACTGATTCGAGTAGGTAATGAGTGAATGCAGAATATACTATTGTTGAAATGCAGTGACATGAATAGAAGAAGCTTCAGGCTTTTTATTACCTTCTTCACCAACCTGCATTCGTGGTATCTGACAAGACAAAGCAAAGAATGCGCAGTGATGTATAAACCTGGCCGAATGTGAATAGGAAACAATATTATGAACAGAGCTAGTTCTCGCCATTGACTTCTCGCATTCAACATGGCCCATTTTGCGTTCAATTTGTGGTGACAAAATGGGCATTTGGTGTAATTTTGGATGCACATAAACAAACGGCTGCTTCCATTGTTCGGAGAATGTAATTCAGCCCTTAGTCCGCACAGCATTAGGCAAAGCTCTATGTGTTCACGTCCTCCATTTAATTCTAGTACTGAATTCGAGAACGTGCGGAAATACGTACTATACCCAAATAATTTACTTACAATGCCATCTCGCGTTATTGAGTGAACAATTGGGGCATGGCCCTTGCATCTCTGTAAACTAAATTGTATTGAACATTTTTACAACTTTTAATGTTAGTACTTGCGCATGCGACTGAAAACATTATTCTCCGATTTTATCGGAGTGGTACTTCAAGGTGAATGAGCTGGAAGGAGAGGTGGACATCGTCACCCAATCGAGAGTTGTAATACTACACATTTAAATCGTAACGAAGCTCCCGAATGGATGACAGTGTTCCTCTCTCCGTCCAGCTCGTCCTCTTGAAGTACCACTCTGTTTAAATCAGAGCATACTGGGGCATGCCATTAACAAGGCACTATTTTAAAAACACGCAAGTCCCATACTTATATCAGCAAACATTTATAGTTTACTATTTTCACATTGTGGTTAGAAAGTATAGCTAAACTGCTATGTTCAATTTCCTGTAATATCTTATTTTACATGAATAATGTATTAAGCTCTCTTAAAAATCACCCTTAATTCTATATTAACTCCTGACATGCACGTTCTAGTAATTTTAATACGTTTATGGAATATTTTTACATGAACATACGTGGGTGAATAAACTTAGTTCTGTTGTAGATCCCGTAGAAAAGGTTTTTCGTGATGTCGTTGCAGCTTATGTCACCAGAACTTTGTGTGGGTTTCCGAAACACGGATCTCTGTCGTGGACTCGAAGGTCATTAGCGCCATTTACAAACAGCGACAGCACTCTATTTTTGATGGTCGGTTGACGAGGTCAGGGGCAATTGGTGGACCGCGCGTGATAAACGTCTGTCGTAAGTGTGCATCCCAAACCTTGAAATTCACAAATGTTGTGTTTTTGTCGAAAAATATCTAACACTGTGACTCACTTTATGTACAACCTTGCTGAAGATGTTGGTGTTTTTTTCGTGTGAATGATTTACCCAGTATGTAACGTGTACAATAGTAGACAAGGAAATAAAAATATAACTTGTACAAATGCCCCTCTTGTACAAATGCAAAAAATCCAATCTTACATTTTTGTACTCTATCATTTAATATCGGTAAATATGAAGAGAGTTCGTGTGAAACGTAACAAATTCTCTGTTTAATCACAAAAGGAAAGGCGTTGTGTAGTGTTTCTTTGTTCATTTCGGAATCAGCGGTTAGGGAAAGCCATATCATGGGGTTTATCAGACCACATTCAAGAAAGTATTGTAAAAGTGCTATGGCGCGTGCATGACGGAATGTATAAATGAAATTCTATTTATTACGGGATTAATATTGATTTTGATCACGACGACATCTGCTATTTCATTTGTGACAGTTGTGATAATAATATACAGAATGCAGATTTGACTCAGTGAGAGTAACTGAGAAAGTAAAAAATGGATTTGACTCAGTGAGATGAGTAGATATGGGTGTGTTTTAATATAGAAAATTGATTGTGAAAATGTAGTGGACCTATAGATGTAAACAATGTGAGTAAAGTTGTGTATTTAATGTAAAACAAATAGCCGAGAAGGCTAAGTAAATTAAATGTCTCTATCTCTCCGTCTGTCTAAGTCACCAACTAAAGCCCCCCCTTCAATTACCACTTCCTCGCCAGACCTCTTCCTGCGCGAATGTTACGTTGTAAGTCCTTGCGTTCCAGGGGTGTAAGTTCCGTAATGGGTTTATGGACTGGTACGTGCCCGCCACCTGGCCGCCGCCGCCGTCTAAACTCCTTACCTGTAAATGGGTTGAAGGGCCGTCAGCTTAGGAGACTCCAGCAACAGAGAGTGCCCTTGGCTGCAGTAGGCTTACGAGCTCAGACAAATTACGGAGAGAAGTTGAGGATCAAGGTACCCTAAAAGGTAAGGGAAGTAAAAGTGGAGTACAATTAACTGAAGGCAGGGAGATTGAGCTATAAATGCAATATTATTTGAGACGTTAAAATGCCCAATGTTCCTGATTAAAAAAATGCTCCTCGCAAAGACTCACGGCGCAGTGCGAAGTTGCATCATGAAGAGATATGCGGCATGGGCTGCGTGTGGTGGCACGGGGTGGAATGAGGTAGCTTGGGGTGGCATGGGTCTGAGTGGGGTAACATGCGAAACCTTGGGGTGGCGTAGCACGCTACGTTGAAAATGCCGCTAGGGTGGTGGAGCGTGCGTCCACGTGTGGGATCATGAAATGGCAGGAAGCAATGATTCGCAATAGATTTAACTTACTGAAACGGCATTTGATACCTCGTAATTGATAGAGGAAAGAGTAATAGCGCTGTAAATCTAAGATTCGTCGCAAATCTATAGAGCGTTTTGTTGAGGAACTTTTTAATAGCACAATGTGTAGGCTGCGGATTTAGATACAGTCTGAATGTATCTGACAATAATTGTACTACTTTTAAATAATATGTGCTTGAGAAATACACCCTTCATGAGGAGGTTAAAGAAGCGATATAACGTCTGAAAAACACACACAATTTTATGAGAACAAACATTCCAACGAAACAGAGCATGATTAAGACACACACACACACACACACACACACAAATGCAGGTTTTGCAATTTCGGATTTAACCTTTAATGATTATGAATGAGCTGCCGGGAGATGGTTCTACGTTACATTTAAACGAAAAAAAATTGAACACAGTGTTGGTAGAAATTTAAAATATTTATGTCATTAACTTGTAGCTAGTGACATAAACACGCAACATCCAACGTGTTTAAATATAAAATGTATAAATATAGCATTCTTGCATGCAGCTTAAAGCGCATGTGTCTATGAGTTGCGGCACACGTTGCCTTCGCATTGCATCGGCGGATTGCACACTCCGTTCGTGGGTATTGCGCCCACGCAGAACTGTCCGTCAACTGCAACAGATAAACAAGAATAACAGATGGAACGGGCATGTTTTAGCTGCTTGTTGCCAAGAAATTAGAAAACGATTTCAAGCGATTACTTTGGACCAGAGAACACATATCTCTTGAATATTCAATGCCGCATTTATTTAATGTATTTAAAAACAAGGAAAGACAGCACTCTAGAATTTTCAAGATCGCATATACGTTATTAGATAGTATGAGTCATTACTGAAAAGTTGAAATACTAGTAACCAAACTATTAAGGGTAGGAAAGGGCATGGCTGTAAAAGGTGAGCAAGAGGAATTTGCCCAAAGGGTAAAGCGAATAGGGCAAAGTACGGTCATAAAAATAACGGAGCTCCCACATTCATTAAAAACTTTCACCTTTTTATCACATTATTATTGCAACCTTGCAACTTTTAAATTTTAAATATATTATCTGCTCCCTCATAAATTACATCGAAAATAGTGAATTTGTTCTTGATGAAAATTGTCATTAATATTAGTTTTAATTAGTAGTACCTAACAATGTTTTCAGAAAAACAACCACACATTTTTTCTGTAATTTTTTGCTCTAATAGAACAGAGTTTGATTAATATATAACGATTAATAACACGTGTTCTATTTTCGTTAAACCCCTTGAATTTTGACAATTCCAAAAGTTTAAACTTTTTCCATTACCCTCTTATCCTTTGCATTAAAGTTGTAAACTATTAAAACTATATTTATTTCTTGAGACAACATCTTTCACAATATTAAAACGTTAAACTTTTAATGTGAAGTTTAAAAAATATTAGTAATATTTACGCATCAAGATGCAATTTTTCAAATGGGTTTTCCTTATTACAGTTTATATTTTTTAAATACTTTTTCAGTATTTTAAATGTTAGACAACGGTAATTAAATCTTACAAAATTTATTTCATAATTTTATTTAAATATCATTTTGATATCATTTCCAGGTTTTTCATTCATTAACTAATTTTGTAAATATCATCTTCAATTGTAGCACCTGATGAGAAAAAAATTATTAAAATAAAAAAAATATTAATCAAATAATTTTGTGTTAAATAAGTATGAATCGCCAAAACATTTAAAATAAACATTGCATTTTCAATGCCTTGATTATTCCACGAGCTTTCATACCGCGTGGGTTCGAATCCTTTCCTGGGTAAACATATTTATTATTTTGTACACTCGCTTGAAATGAATTGTAGAAGTTCTATCTCATTAATTCTTTTGAAATTACAAAAATTAAAGGTATTTTTCCAGTCTCTCGGGAGTCGATTAGACAATTTTACAAGAGTAAGGTGTAGCTGTCAGGAGGATACGAGTATCCTAAAACTCGTTGATTCTCATCAACCCAAGACTCATCCAACTATTTCACACTCATGAATACGAATTATCTTTACCGATTATCCGAAGTATTTTAATTTCATTAAAGAAAAGAAATAGCATATCATCTCACCACGAAAACTTATTTGTTTAAAAATATAAAAAATTGTGATGTAGTGTGCTTTTAGAACTGGCCATTTTTATGTGGTATTTTAATATTTATTCGATTAGCTATCAGTAAAATAGTATTTTCATAATAAAGAAAGTATACGTAATACATATTTCATGTTTATTGTCATTTGTATGTCTAAATTTTATTCTGTATATCGAACTTAGATAAAATATTTATCACTGTGGGGGAGGGTAGGATACTACTAATAACAATTTAAGAAATATAAAGACCATACTATTAGAGTTTTTCGTGGTTTCTAAATCTGCATGCAAAAATATTTATCATTTGAAATACGAATAATGACCCTAATTAGTTTTGCTTGCGATATTGTTAATAGAGGAATTGTAAGGCAATGTGTGTTCCTTTCATTCTTGGCTTTCACGATGTTACTTGATAAGCGATGCATAGAGAATTTGTGCTTCCCCTCACCGATGTAGACGAGGCAGGTGTCGCAGCAGCCGCACCACGTCAGCCTCCCGCTGCGGTAGTGCTCGGGCCGCACGGCGGTGCAGTTTCTGGCGGCTGGGTCTCCGTCGCGGCACGGCAAGCAGCTCACGCGCCGTTCGGGGTCGTCGCCTTGCGCGCGCACGCCCACGCACGCCCACGCAGCCAGCGCCAGCGCGCACAGCGCCACGCACTTCATCTGCGCGCGCAGCGTCGCTTTGGAGAACTAAAATCTCGCTACGAAAGGACTGAATTTACTACTTTTTTAATGATATCGGATCGTGATTATGAACTCAAAAATTCATTCTTGTAGGAACAGAGGAATCTTCCGAGATTAATAGACGAATGGATGGCAGATTGCAAACCCTGTGGAGAACTGGCAAGCATTCATTAACTCTGTGAAAATCAGTAAATAGGTTTGAAAAATATCTATTCCTTACCCCTGGGCTAGAAACTGTTGCTATACGCATTCCTATTCCTGATCACAATAATCTCACGGTCATAGCAGCATACCAACATCCAAGCACAAAATGTCGATATCCCGTATCGAATCACTATTTAACATTACATCATCAACGATTGTATTGGGCAATCTCAATGCTAAACATACATATTGGGGCTGCTGAGTTTGTAACTCCTCAGGTTCGTTTCTCTAACATACCATAAACCATTTTCATATGAAAATATACTCGTCCACTGAACCCACTTATTACTCATTAAATAATAATATAATTCCAGATATACTTGATATTGCATTGCATTAACCTCGTAGGTTTTACAAGAATTCAATTCCGATCACAATCCAATATTACTGATATCTCAAGTTTTCTGCCCCCTACTCCCCCTCCCTTAACCCTGTCAACCTCCTCCTTAAACTGTTCTAACTACCAATCCAAACTGGAAAGTATGTTACCTTCCATCAAGGATCTATGCATGGAATTGGCATTGCAGTATCCCGTAGTACAAATGCCAAAATCACAGCGGTTCTAGACTCTAATCCTAAGCGCCCTTCGCGTCCCAGAAAGTATTTAAAACCACCTCTTCCCAAGTATGTAGAAAACATAATTACAGAAATCAATAGAATCAGAAGACTGGAATAAACACACGTAACCAAACTTAAAGAATAAACTCATCCGTCTTATACGAGTGTTTAGATGGCCACTACAGGACTACTTTGAGGAATATAAAAAAAATTGTACCTTCTCTCTCGTTCCATAACAGCTCAGTTTAGCTGGCTTGGAAGAAAATACTACGCAAAATGACAATCATCCCCCTCTAATGTAAATTGGGCAGAAACTCAAAACGACAATGCAGAATTTCTGGTTGGCTTCTATGCCACAACCTTCCTACATCATAAACTTCACGTTCAACTTTTCGTTCTGCTTTTTATTTTTGTGTGTATGTTCCTGTTTATTAATGTCGTCAAGTCTTCTATCGTCGAATGACTTCTCTCCATTTTGTGCTGTCCGCGCCTGTTCTGTACCATAGTCTTCCTGATATCTTTACTATACGAGTATCATTCCACCACCGTAAGCTTTCTCTTCCGGAAGTCCAAAGTACGTACCTGGAAGAAAATATCCAGGTCACGAAAATATATCACCTTCTATGCTAAAAACCTACCTCGTAGTGCTCTTGCCTTTTTAACTACTATAATACACTCTAGGCATACATAGTTTTCTTCCCAAAATTATGTAAAAACTCAATACTAGACCCAATCCCCAAACCCAACAAAAATCATACCTTACCTTCCAGCTACCGCCTCCGTCTCACTACCGCGAGTGTATAAAATACAGTCACATTTTAATTCTGCCCCAAGGTATGTTGCTAATCTCTACGCTCGTCAGATAGGCTATTAATAAAGCTTGAAATTTAACTAAGTGTATATCAAGAGCGAACGAAGGAAAATAAAATGAAATGACCGCAGGAGCGCAGTCAGCGAGGTACCTGAGAAGTGAAGGAAGAGGGACAGCGACGGTAGCAAAGCGTCCTTCGCACTGCGCGGTGTGCACGGCTAGGTAGCTCTTATGTGGCCCCGCCAGCGGTGAAACACGCGAGCGAGGTCACGCGGGCGCTCTGCTGTTGCCGCCGGAAGCAACCGCCATGCTCCCAAGCGGACACAGCTGCAGTTCCATTAATCTGCCGCTGCAGAGTACTTGCCTAATGACTACTTGACGAAATAGATACGAAGGTATGCTAATTTAGATCTAGGTATCCTGTTTGTAGATACCCTAGTTTAGCATAAAAGCGCTAAAAAGTAGGTAAATTGATTTACGTTAGGAATACCTTTTCTGGAAGAGAAACTTAATACTTAATAATAAGACCAAATACGTGAAAAGACACGACGGGATGTAACGTTACCTACACTGGCAGATCTGTACCGCTCTCGAAGTTCCAATCGCATGCCCCAAGTGGTACGAACAATCACCAAAACCGGTGACACCTGTTGGACTCTATACAATATTGTACGACCAACAAATTCAAACGCATCCCACGATAGCAGCAAACAAACTGAATATTGTTATCCGGGATTTGGAGAAAAAATTGTGTCTGCTAGAAGATGTTGCTGTGCCTTGCGATCAAAACGTCGTAACCAAAACGGCAGAGAAACGTCTTAAACACAAGTGTTTGAAAATCGAGATCTGCCGATTGTGGGAGTAAAAGCACAGGTCTAACCGATAGTCATCGGAGCTCTAGGATTTGTTCCGTAAAATGAAAGAATTTGGCTAAATTCTAGATCATTCAAAATACTGAGAAGAGCAAAAAATTGCTTTATTTGGAGCAGCCCACATTTTGCGCAAAGTGTTGTAGAGGCACCGACAGTCACTAGATGTGCTCTTTAAGTAGCTGGTTGCAACCTGGAGTATATTTTATATCCAGTCCACTTATAACATCTTAGTCGTGATATAGATGGAACATAATAATAATAATAATAATAATAATAATAATAATAATAATAATAATAACAATAATAATGATGATAATGATAATAATAATAATAATAATAATAGTGAATGTTATTGCCGCATATTCATTTATCAAGGAAATGTGTTGTTGACGTTGGCTTTTTCAACACTTTATAAGATGACAGCATCTTTTATTCTCATATTACAGAATAACTCATTTTGAAAATTGTTGGAATATTAAATAGTGTTGTATTCAATGTGTACTTCAAACTTTTATTAGATTTGCAAGTCACTCGCAACTGAAGAAAAGCAGTGGATTTCGTGATGTTTGTTTTGAGTTGATAAGGATTTTTTATTAAATAACACATCTCATGACCTAAAAAAGTTTAATTAATGAACAATTACATTATTTTGGGAATATTTTGAGTGAATTATATTATTATTATATATTAGTAATAAAATACGTCACTATTACAGGCAAAATTCTTCTGAACAGAACTAAACCTCTTGATTTAACAGAAATTTAAAACTGTGGTTCCCTGGCCTTACGGTGAAAGGACTGGTTACACTTGTACGCTGCGGCACACGTTCCAAATGCAACGCATGGGTGACTTGCACAGGGTGTTCGTCGGTATAAAGGTGTCGCAGATATCACCATCCGCTGCAACACATGCACATAATATGATCATGTACACCGCGCAAGGCAATTAGCGAGTAAAAACCTCATTCATTGTGCACGTTTGTGTGCAGTTGAGGATGCACTTGCAACACAAACATCTTGTAAAAAAAAGGAAACAAAATGAGCTGATGGAGAATATTCTAAGAAGTCTGATTAGGAATGAAGTTGTAGTCAATGAAAGTATTTAAGAATTTTATACACGTATATAACACGTTATTCACTTCCCACTTCAGATTTCTTCTTTGGAATAATAATTAGAAAGCCCGCCTAAATGGATAAAAGCCCAACTCCATACAGCCCTCTCCTACCATTTTCACTCCACTCTGCTCAACCCGCCCGTCCCCAGTCTTTCCCTCACGATCACGGCCCCGTCACATTCCTTGCCCCCCCCCCAGCCGCTCTCCCCCTCCTGCCTCCCAACGCCCTCCACCAGACCCACCCACACCCAGCGTCGCCTGCCCATCTTACCCACTCGGATGCGCTACAATTCACCATTCCTCAACGGAATGCGCAGTGCCAAAAATCTATATTTCAGACACCCCACAAACGTTAAAAAATCTCCTGCCCCCAAGAGGTCGTAGGGGGTGGGACCCAATTAAGTAAAGAACCCATTTCAATGAGCTTTTAAATCAGTCCTGGACATTTCTGTGGGTAGACTGGGAGCTCCATAAAAATGTGGCAAATTTAACCACATCACATTTTTCTTAAAGTGAAAGTATGAAGAAAAGTTTCAGGAAAATTTCGAGATATTCATGTCTCTTTGAATCCTCTTACCTGTTTAGACTACATTGAATGTTTCGGTTTAATATTATTTCGGGGCAAACTTTTAGCATAATAACACATCATTCTAACAAATTTCTAAGACTCGTTTGTGATGCGAATCATAATCTAGTTACTTGTAGGTTAATGAACCATTCTCTCGTGCTAGGACTTGAGTCGATTATAGCATTAAGTTTGAGCTGCTCTCACCGAGGTAGACGAGACAGGTGTCGCAGCAGCCGCACCGCGTGAGTTTCCCGCTGCGGCACTGCGAGGGCAACACCACAGGGCAGACGGTGGCAGCTCTGTCCTCGTCGCGGCACGGGAAGCAGCTCACGCGCCGGTCGGGGTTGTCTTGCGCGCGCACGCCCACGCACACCCACGCAGCCAGCGCCAGCGCGCACAAAACCAGGAGTCTCATCTGCGCACACAATGTCGCTCTGGAGAAGTGCAAGGTCTAAAATAATGTTCAAACGATATTCGCTTCTATCCTTAAAAGAATGGGTTGATTATTTTAGTACATTTCTTGAAATTCCTATGTTTACGGACTGTCAATATACAAGGATGTATAAACTTTTGAGGACTAAAATGTAAATTCAGTGAAATGTCCGCCAATGAAATTCGGTAGCACGAGTGATTAAACGATACTTCCTGTCCTCTCAGTTGACCTTATTACAAGAGCGCATCAGAGTGAAATCTGCTTTTAAACTTTTGCGTGAGTTACAATTAGAGAGCGATGGTTAGAAACGTAAAGTATATCACTTTTATTGTTTTCTGTTTATTAACATTTGTAAGTTTCTGTACATTTGTTTGTGAACTAAAATCTACAACTAGCTTTAGAAGTTAATATTGGGATATGAAGTTTAATGAAATGCTGAACTGTTTAATGCAAAATAAAAACTTTGATACAGTATGGTACAGTAAATCGTAGCGAACGCGAAAAAATCTTCATTTTCTCTCAATAAAATGTATTATCGGTAGAAGCGGTCACTTCAAGCCTTGATTACTCCACGGCCACTAAGAGGTACTTCTGATTTACTTGAACATAGCGGTCAAACACTTTGAGTACTGCATGGAAATTAATCAACTGTTATAAACATCGTGTCGTTCGCACAGTCCGATAATTACTACAACTTTCAGAGCACAGTATGCGACAATTATGCACGAACATTACAGTGATTTCGCTAGGCAGTTCAATAAACTACGCTTGCATTTAATTACGGGATAACAGGGATCAGATAAGGAGAGTGATGTCTCCGAAACAGCTTACAAAGAGGATGCATAAATTCATTTACTTTAGAATTAATTTAGTTTCAGACACACAATAAATGTTATATTTTTAGACTACGTCTTTCTCAGGTAATGCACATTATATCTGGTTCTAAGGCTCTTAAGATAGAGGTCCATCATTTAATGAATAATGTTTATGCTGATTTTAATATCATGGTGGAAAAGGTGTAAATATATGTAAACCCTTCACTAATACAACTTTTAAGAAAGAGATGAATCTTTGTAACATCCACTTTCAAGTTAGAGCAAGATTCGTTAGTTTGTATCACTTCTTTGTTTATGTCGTTATTACAATCATATTTTTAATCCCGAATGATTTTTAATTAATGTTTGATTCTTACAAATCGAACGATTATTGTTTTTTACATTTAGTCTTTATCGTTCGTTCCTTTCAACGTCAAGGGCAAGAGTAAAATTTGATACTTTTGGGGGCGTCGTTCATAGGTTCTCAACAGCAACGGATCAACGTTGTTTCACAAACACAATTAATGATTACGCCATGGGATGTTTTAAAATAAGTTTGATATTACGTGTGAGGTAATTTAATTTAAGTGGACACAGGTAATCCAACATTCAGAAATGGAAGTTCAAATATGAAAAAGTACTCACTTTAGGGTTCACGTCACAGCTGCAATTGTCAATGGCAACTCGTGATATGCGCTGGCGACGGTGGGTGCCTTACATATAATCGTATTCAGACGTATTGCTGACTTCTCAGTTGTTTCAAGATTCCCTCTCCTCTTGAATTTTCCATCCCGCAGTTTGTTGTCGATCGCGTTATATTTCATGGTTCATGTCAATTTTTAAATGTACAAATGCACACGTGCGACTTTCTCCGTTATCTTCTGACTGCCTCGCGAGAATTGAGGTTGCTATTAATAAAGCTATTTTTCTCAATATACTCCTTGCGTCAGTGGAAATTATTATCGGCTACATTTAATTTGACGATCGCAAAACAATTTTGTTTGAACAGCTGGAGCCAAAGATTATTCCCTAGTTATATGATGTAATCTTTTCATCAATTGAACGCTCACAAATAAATAAAAGCAGCACATGCATCAATTGTTTGAAATGTATGTACAGTATTTCAGCTACAAAAATGCAATTGCCGAAGGATGAAGGTATATACATTTTGGAGGCAAGTTTTATTTAATATATATTTTTCAACTTTATATTTTGTACGGAGGGGTCGTAAAAATGCATGTTCTTTAATATTACACGTAGATGGTTTGGGCGATTTTTAATTCCATTTTCATTTAATAATTTGAATGTTCGAAAAAGTCCAAAGTCACAAAAATGTCATTTTTGCAGGAGAGAGAGGAAGAAGCTTGAAAATTTCATTAAAAGACAATAACAAAGAGAGCTATGTACATACTTCTATCAAATCCTGTCTGACATCTCAGGAAGACTTTGAAAAGAAAAGCTGTTGCAGATTGCCTTTACAACTTACAAAAATAACTCTAATAATGGTCACAAAATAAATAATGGTTTAGGACTATACCATTCTCAGTTGTAATTTGGCGGTCGATTACTTTCAGAGAAGGAAAATGTAATCAAAAAACGTTGAGCAACTTGGAGAATGCTTTGAAATTATTATCTACTGGTGCTTCATGATTTCATCATACATCAGTAATGTCAATGGCGATGCCAGGGGCGGGAGTACGTGGCCCGGGTAGCACAACGAAATCACCCCTCCACGCAGTTGATCACCTTGCCACAAGAGAGCACTACGTAGTTAAAGTCGCCCTGGACGATTTTATTCTTTACACATGAAATTCGATTAGGCAGGATTTAGATATATCAATTTGAGTATACTTGTAGTTATTATTTTTTAGTTATATTTTGATTTTTCTTCGCATATCTTTTTGTTTACATTGGATTCCTTCTTGGTAAAGACAGGTTCTAGAGACAAAATTCGTATAGTATTTCTCAAATTTTCAATACTTAATCGAACCCTGTGTTTGTTTTTGAGCAATTTCATTATTGAAAATGCTTGTTCACAGACGTATGTGCGACGTATTAAGTTTGGATGTTGTGATTTATCGAGTACTTTGTAAAATTCTATTACACTGCCTTTTGAGACTAGGTTACTACTGATAGTATCCTTTCCTGACGCTAGTTAAGCAGAAGAGCTCGTGGCATGCCACGGTTTCACGAAGCGTGCCACTGCCACAGGAAGGAGACCTTGATATCACCGTCATACACTTTCGAAATAATATTAAAGGCTACGTACAATTTATAAGATTGCACCTTACATCCTATTAATACGTCACGCCATATAATGAAAAACTCACCAACAAACGAGGCACGAGTTTTTTCCAAAATATCATTAATATCTTCAATTGTATTGAATGTTCAATCTCGAATCTTCAAAAATATCCAGTCTAGGATTTGACACAAGTAAGGAGATAACTAGACAAGGTTTCTATAGTGGAACTGAAATGAAACGAATGAGGCTATAACAGCACAAATGTTCTCGAATTATTTGAAACGGATCGGCAATATTGTACTACTAAATGAACCGTGTGTGTTTATATTCAGGAAATATTTCTTTTCCTCGCCGTGATTCAAACTCAGGTCAAACGAGTTAACTTGTCTTGCGCTTTACCGCTACACCGCGCAGTCGATTTTTGTCATTTTTGTCGACGCTTAAAAACGAATGGTATCTCCCATTATGTCAAACAAACAATTACGAACATTTCAGAGCATTCAACGAAAATTGTCTTCTCCTTATATTTAAAAGTCCTTTCGCTCTGTGGAAAAATTAAACAAAAAATTTAAAGCCGTGTTAAAATGTTTTCTTATAATATGCATTAACTACAAATAGAAATTGCAAACATTTTTAAAGAAAAAATACACGAATTTATTTAAAAACATGATTTTTACTTTCTCTTACAGTAGATACCTAATATAGAGAGAGTTATGTAATGCTGCTTCGAAAAACGTTGCATTTTCCGCACAAAACTTTGTATTGTACATCCCTGATACCGTAAAGGCTGGTAAATCTTATCCCAATATATAGTAAATCCTATGATAACGTTGAGTAGTCAGAATCCCGTTTTGTGGATCCTTGCAGGGCCCTTTTGTAAAATTGATTTATGATAAAACGTCTGTTTGTATTTCCGGCTATATTAATGGCCCTACGGGTTAAAGCATAAGCAGGATTTTCACCAAAATTGATATTCCTCAATAGATCGGGTTGATGTCGCAGCTGGAATTTAAAAATTTCAAGAAATATCAAGAACGTTTTCAATTTTTTCTTAAAAATGGCTCCCAAATTTTTAATTTAACTTATTTATTTGATATCGAAAAGGCTGCATAAATATCATGCAGGTCTCCGTTCGTTGCAATAAGTGTGTTTTAGAAAATTGGAAAAATTCAAGTTCCTACAAGTAGTATAAAAGGTAAGATTTTCCTTTTATTATAATTTTTTCATCCAACTTGTATAATTAAATGAGGACGGTTTTATTCAAAATAAGAATACGTTTTGAATATTTAACATGTAATAAAAGTAATTTTACATTTATTACATGCTAAAGATTCAAAGATGTCAAGATTTTTTCAAAAATGTCTCTCGGTTTTTTCTCGACAATTTGTGTACTCGTAGCTACTAAAACATTACATTAAAAATATAAATGCCATTTCGATAAATTAATTATATTCAAAAATATTCAAAAATTACATCATGGAACTGCTTTTAAATATCTCTCACGTCATCAATATTTGCATTGCCGGAATATTTCTGCATCGTAGTTGTGAAGAAATGGCCTTGAATTTACGTCTAAAGAGGTTTCTTGAAAAGTCAAACTTGAAAAGTCAATATTGTGGGAAAACAATTTCCCAGTTGTGTATTTTCAGAATCGCTCAAACTACATTTTTTAAGAACGACTCCAATTTTTTCAATAAAAATTTGCAAATAGATCTGTTTTACTTTTTTGTAATATTAGTAAATACATTTCAATTGTACTATTAGGGGCCCGAAAAAATAAGGGAGAGTGAAAAAATGCTTTTGCAAAATATGTAGCTGTTGAAAAGATACTGATGCAGAAAAGCAAAGCCGCGACTTCGTCATGAGAAAACTAACTAGTGTGAGAATGTCTGTTCCATTCTGTAATCACTATCTTTACTTGTGTGTGCATGAGTGGATTTTATTACGATCGTTTTTGGTTGATCGCGATGTTTAGAAATAATAAAGAAATAATAAGAAATGAAAGCTAAAGAATTTATTTATTTGATGAGAAAGTACGTGATCATACAAGTTTGTATTAAAATATTAATAATATTCACACATTCAGAATTGTACACACAAATTTCTTCCGTATCCATTTCTCTTGCCTTATAACAAATTGAAAACGTACATCACTCTTGTATTTCGGTGAATGGGCTGGTTGTGCTTATGGATTGCGGCATACGTTGCCAAAGCAACGCATTGGCGGGTTGCATACACCGTTCGTCGGTACAAACCCAATGCAGAAGGAGCCTTCACCTGCAACATATGCAAAATATGCTTTTCATGACAGCTCAGCAAGGTACCTTGCAAGAACAAACATCATTCGTAGTGCAAGTTTCATTACGGAGAGGACTTTCTTGCAAAATATTTCTAATCATTTAAAGACATCTACAAGATCTGCAGGACAGCGTTACAAGGTGTCTGACTTGGAATGAGTTAGAAGTAAGTTATAGAAAACTTTTTTTCCTAACATGCCTAACAAGTTCGAATTTTTAAACTAAAATGTATTAACTTGTATCATCGAATCGCTCAGAATGTCCGTCAAAGTGGACAAGTGCCACGCTATACTCAGTGCGTTCTGATCTGTTGCGCTCCGCTTGTTTTCACTTTGCCCGCTCCTCCGCACCCCGCCCTCTCTCCACTCTATCCCTGCTCCAATCTCTCTCCTCCATCCCATCTGCGTTTCTCTTCCCTCCTCTCTCCACCCCATGATCGTTCCTCGCCCCTTTTGTCTCATCCTTTCCTCCCCCAACCTCGGCCTTTCCTTTACATCCTCCCTGCTCGGCTGTGACGAACTACGTTATTCTGCAATGTATTGCGGATTGTCTAACATCCATATCTCCCAAACGCTAGGAGAAGCCCATCCCTCAGTAACACATTGAGGTGCGGGAATCCAGTTTAAAAAACGACGGTTTTCTAAGCTTTTAGATGAGTCCACAACAACCTCTGTGAGTTTGTGTGGGTTTCAGAGTCGGTACCAACCACTAACCGTTTACCTCTGTATACTTTGATGGTAAGTTGATAAGTTTTAGGCAGTCTTCCTAGACATTTCTCTCTCGTTTATTACTTATGTATTTTACTGTATTTAATGTTGTAGCCTAATATTATTTCTCGACAAAATTTTATTTCTTGAACGTCACATCTTACTAATAAATATATTATTTTCTGATATGAATCGCTGGGAATTCCTAGGTCATTGAGTCTTCCTCTTGGTCGTGGCTAGCGCGCTAGGATTTGAGAAGCGATTCTGCGCATAGTAAATTTGTGCTGCTCTCACGGATGTAGACGAGGCAGGTGTCGCAGCAGCCGCAGCGCATGACCCATCCCGCTGCGGCACTGCTCGGGCGCACGCGGTGCAGTTTCTGCGGCTGGGTCTCCGTCCGGCACGGCAAGCAGCTCACGCGCGCCGTCGGGTCGTCGCCTTGCGCGCTCACGCGCCACGCACGCCCACGCAGCCAGCGCCAGCGCGCACAGCGCCCGAAACTTCATCTGCGCACGCGCGTCGCTTTGGAAACTAAAACCCCGCTACGGAAGGAGAGAAATTAACGTGTTTTTCACAACTCATGAGAAACTTACAGGATAAGTTGGTAATAATTCTGAAATCTTAAGGTATATTTTATATAGTACTGTCAGAATAAGTTACTGTTAATCTTGCAGAGTTTGTGAAGCAACTGTATCAAGATTTTATCCCCAAGTGACTTTTGGTGGCGGTGGTGGCGCAATCAAATCTTTCCTTCAAGCAGTTAAAGAGATGAGTGTTGTGAAATCTGCCCTGAAACTTACTCTGTAGATACGATTATGTGAAGTATAAAAAGTAAATTCTTTGTTTTTGTGATGTTCATGTACACTTTCTTTTATTTTTCTGCTGCAGATTCCGGCAAAGCTATCGCTATAGGAAAGTTGAACGCTCGTTCTTCTGATAGTAGTTATCTATGACATTAGTTGAGTTGAGAAGCTTGTGATACGCCGTGATTGGGTGAGACATGATTATGTCATCTGAAGGCGAACTTGTCATCTTCAATGTAAAGTAGGTAAAAGGTGAATGACGTGGGATAATTATTTTAGGCAATAATCCTCGACCATGTAATTATTAGATGACATCTCACTTTATATTGTGTATTTGCACACATCACTTTTCCAGTATTGTCAGGGTCACATATCTGCTCTCATAATTTTATGACCAGTCTTAAAAGATCATGAACAGCTAGTAATCTGGTAGCTCAAATTATCGTCTCGACGATGTATTTATTGCACATTGAACGTTCCAATGAATATACGTCCGTACTTCACATTTATCAAAAGCAAGATCTGTATTTGTTAATTGACTTTCAGAAGTTATTCGACAAAATGTTCTTTGTTTTCTTTCTATCAACTTAGTGGACTGTTCTATTTCAGTGGAAGTTAAAGTCTAGATATCTCTCGACCCAAAGGATGTGGTTTACCGTTCCTGGCCGTTCGGTCGAATGGGTCACATCGCATCAGTAGAGACTTGCTCTCACCGCCATAGAATCATAATTAACGCTGTACCATATTTTAGTTCATTCCTCCACATTATCAAAAATCGTGTTTACTTACCTTTGGAATGTAATTAACTACTAACTAAATAGAATGTACATTAAATTTACGTAATTTTATAGTTTTTTTCATGCATAGCGGAAATGAAACTGAATCTTTCTTTAGGTACAACATACTAACCACAATTCGATGCCACCTTCGGAACCAAAGTTCATGTAACTGCAAACAGCAACACAGTGTATATTTATAGAATTTTAGAAGCACACTGTCGTGGCCGTTTCTACGACGAGTTTCTTTTCTTTCAACTTCACCTAAGACTTGGAATTCCTTCCTTCTCAAATACTGCGGTTGCCATTAAGATTGCAACTAATAATAAAATGTAAGAATATTAATGTAAGTCTAGGCTTCCGCGACTGGAGTCAGTAACTACTTGGCTGTCCTAGAGATGCGCATCGCTGATACAGATGCAAAGTTTTCGACCGTCATTCTGCGACCTTCCTCAGGGCAAAATGCGTGAAGATAGGCTGCGCAAAAGTTTTTATAGACCACATGACATCTTTGTCTAGGGCGAGGCGTCTTCCGGACAGCCAAGTACTTAATAATGTACCATAGTACACACGAGTTTCATTGAGCAATCGCGTTAACACTTTCAATTTTTCTCTTTTGTGAAACTTTCGTCTGCAACAGTCTACAGAGAACCGAGTGTTTATGCGCGGGAGCAGCAACCCGCCGACCTACCTGGGCGGTCGTATTGCAGCGTGCCGTGAGAGCGGAGCAGCGCGAGCGCTCAAGTGTTCAGCGACGTCCTCCGCACTGAGCGACGAGGACGAGCGCCAGCGCTTAAGAGGCGCGCGCCGGCAGGTGGCGGAAGCCTGAGGCGGCCTCACTCACCGCCGCCCCGCACAGTGGGTCCAACGGACAGCGACGGCTTTTGTGTGGTGTGCGGTCGCGATTCAAGCATTTTAACTGACAACAATTCGTTGCCTACATTTTAACACGGGCCTGCTACAACTGCACGTACTTTCTCTCACTGTTGGAAATAGTTATGTACTATTGAAATGAGTGAATGTTTTGGGGAATGTGGAGGTGGTCCTGACGCGTCGGCTTGTGGTAGATTTTCCTTTATAGGTATCTCCCCCAGCGAGGCACTGCCCCAACCGGTATAAGTCCTAAACTCCCGAATGGTCTACCGACATATGTGGTAGTGCACTACACCCGTGCAAGTGTGTGTAAGGAAAGAGGATAGAATAAGAACGCGAAAGGAATGTTCGCGCACGGTCCGTGACCTGCTTGTTAGGGTAGTACTCCAGAATTTGTCTAGCACTGATCGGAGAAACCACGGAAAACTAGCGATCAGAGCAGCCGGTCGCTAGAATTCTCCTCCCGACACCGACTGAATTCGACTTGGCTGTCTAGCTATTATCGAAACTCAGCAACGTCGGGACTCAAATCAAGAATCTTCCGGTTATAGTCACTGCGTAGGCAGCGACAATGTTGGATCTGATATAGCTCAGCCAGTAAAAATAGTTATTGACTTTGTGCTCACAGAAGTAAAGCATGTGAGCAGTGTTAGTGCCTTTTAATGAGGCGATAATTATCATATATTTGTCTCTTCTCGCTGTATAAAATTGTTTATATACATACTATTTAATTATTTTGATGACATGTGTTTTGATAGTTTTGTTCAGTTTGTTTAGTAAATGGAATCTCACCAATCGACCCTTTGTTTTTGGAAGTATTTCATCATGAAGAGTTTTGGCGCTCGTGACCAAGTGGCCCCTTCCCTTCTACAATGAATTTGAGAAAAGATATTTCTGAATATATTAAATGCTTAATGAATCATTTACACACGGTCATGTTTACATCAAAAAGTGTCAGCCATAGTGAAACGAATGAGTGAGTTATCTGAAATGGTCGGTATTCTGCGTGGGGTTCGATTTTTGACATTATTTAGTGTTCGAGTACTTAAACCCACTGTTGAGAAAGATAATACATTAATAATGCACTTTTGTTTTATTGAGGACTTCTAGGGACGTCTTGTATAGCGCTTTAAAAATTAAATACGATGTCGGGCACATCCAAAAAGGCATTTCCATCAATATCTCGACTTCAATTTTCGAAACCTTTTATAACTTTTTTATGAATAGTATAATATAAAGTATACAAAATTACAATATTTTATTGTGTGTTTCATGGTTTGAAATTGGGGAACGAAAAGGGATGAAAATAACATGAACAGGAGTTAGTTATGTTCAGCATAATCATTTACATACTAGAAATAATTCGTTGTATTAAAACAAAATTACAATCTTGAACTAAACCTGCAAAGTGTCGAAGTGAGCAACCAGATACTCTTCTGCATGAGCCTTTGCACGGGAGTGGCTGCCAGGAAACGCCGCCTTCCCGCATGGGAATCCCAGGTATCTCCTGCGGGCGCCCGCCGGCCTCGCGAGCCGCTCCTGGAAGTGGGCGAGCGTGCACCGCTCAGCGGCGAGCGTCCGGTGCGGCGCGGCGCGGCACGCGGAAAAGCGATGCTGGTGACGTCACGCGCTCGGCAGAACGAGTGTTAGGGTTTCCGGGCGGGTCGGCTACCTTGATCGTTAGCAATTGCAATTCATGCTTTAGCCGAGAGGGAGCGGTGTTTCTTCCGTGCTGGAGAGAAACGGCGCCGACCTACAAGTTGTTGTTGTTGAATTGAATTGAATTAATGCCTTATTTTTCCGTGGCGAGACTCAGGCCATTAGACCTGCTCTTCCGTCTGACCACGCAAATTTCGCTACGCTCCTTTCACCAACTAGCGGAGAAAGGAGGTGTATATTGGGCGAGAAACATGCGATTTGAATTTAGCTCAGAGGCGTCATTTAGGCTTGAGGATATTTTACATGCAAGTAAATTACGAACATGGGACAGCCGGCTTTACTTCCCCTCCGAAGGAAGGCGTACGAAGGATTTTTTCGCCCTTAAAAATCCACGGCTTCGATCGGGTTTGAACCCGCCAACAGTCCAGTACGCTAACCGTTACACCATCGACGCCGCGCGTTGTTGTTGTTGTTGTTGTTGTTGTTGTTGTCGTTAGCCAACGCCCACCCTTGGCATGCCAGCTATTTAGTGACGCGCTGACCAGTATAGACGCGGCAGACCTCCCCCTTAGTTTGTAGGGATCCGCACGCCCACAATGGTCAAGCGCGTAGGTGGCAAATCGCTGTTGCTCATTTAGCGTTACCCAGGGGACATGTAGTAGACCACGGACGCAAGCAACTTGTCCTCGCTGTGAATTATTATTATTATTATTATTATTATTATTATTATTATTATTATTATTTTGAACCATCCCAGCATTCGACAATTCGCCTTATGATGGAAGGAAACCACGAAAACCGCGGTCAGGATGGCCGGTCCGGGAATCGAATCCGGACCTCCCGATTGCGAAGTCAGCGCGCTACGCACTGAGCCACTTCGCTCGGTCGCCGCCCTACAAGAGGGGCTCCAATGTTTTCTTCCTCCAGATACCTCGACTTGGGAACATTCTCAAACAGGTCTAGTGATGTAGCCTACCCAATTAGTGTCGCTAAAATCCAGCCCTGGACGGGAATCGAATCCTAGGCCCTCCGAATGAGTGACACTGCAGAGGGAACATTTGTTGACCTGAACCTTCACAGATCCACAGATTTGTGTGATTTCTCCCCGATTTGGCACAATTATTTTCGAGCTACCAAAATGAAAAGTAACGTAGTTACGATTCAACATATAACCCCTCAATGTTAGTTTTGTGCTCTTTCCTTTTACGTTAAGAGCTGCGTCATCTTACTGTATTATTTATGTGTTGTGTTTGGGAGGTAAGTTTATGTTGATCTTGAGAGAAAGTTAAAAGTTATAATTATAATTACAATATAGAATGTATTCGGGCAAGCATAAATTCTAAACCATTGCAAACTAATTATTTGCTACTAGTACATCTTATCTCGTACGAAGCATTCGTTTGCACATTGCAAGGTATATGGGAGAATGATAAGCTTGTGACCGGTGCTTTTGTATCTTTTACTGGAGACTTTATACAATTCTCCCATTAATTCCACCAAATCTGTAGATGTTTCTTCCTTAAAATGTTTGCGTTTCCTTTTTAGATACTCTTTAAAATGATACATCTGTAAAGTAATACAAAAATGATAAAAAGGATTTCGTATCAGTTTGCAATCTATTAAATACGAATACAATAAAAAAGGAAAAAAGATAAAGCTGACATGAACTACAAAGGAAGTAATAATTTTAAAGGAAGATATACTTGTAACTGATTATATAAAACTCTTCACAAAAATAAAATTAAAGACCTTGGGGATATATATAAAATATTACATGAAGATGTACTTATGCACGTAAGAATAACTCTTCACAGAATTTAAAAAAATTGAAACTGGCAAGATAGGAGAACTAGTACAAGTGAAAATCACACATAATTTGGGTAGTTTCACTCTCCAAAACTTTCACAACGCAATGAAAAAATACCACAATAAAAAACGAGTACACATGAAGTACTACAAACAAATTTAAAATATGATAATATAGTATATAATATTTAATATAGTTCTTATATCTATAAATATATCAATTCTGAAAGAAATAGAAAAAGGGGATCTGGTGACGTAGGCGAGACATGAAAAACATTCTCTCATCATTTGGGCGATATCATTCTCATAAATTATTAACCTCTAAACTGTTACAGGCATTATGAGGGAGAAACAAATGAAAATCCAAATTATTTTTTCCTATCATTTTTCTGCAGAGGAAGGGTTTTCTTGTACATTATTTTTTTACATAGTCCCACAACCAATGCAATTACGCCATCGGGTAGGAAGTGCTTCGCTACCGCGAAAGAAAAAGTTTGGGTGACGTCGAAGGCTCTTGTGCACCGCCGATTGGATGTCTTCATCAGACTTCTGCCCTCCAAGTTGCTCATTAATGGACCAAGGTTGTGGTAATCTGACGGTGCTAAATCTGGCGAGGCTGGCAGATGTGAAAGGCACTTGAAGGAGACGTGGTCGATTGTTTTCATAGTTGCACAACCTGAATACGGATAGGCATGTTGAAATAACACCTGCACTCAGCACCTAATTTTGGAATCCTTTCAGAAAAAGTTGCCTTCAATATACACAAAGCCGGAATCGAGGTTTTATTTAAATCGCAGATCTCCCTCAGAAAAGTTCTACCCCCGCTCCCTCCCAAAAATAGATCTCATATACGAGGGGTGTCTACACACTACATTTCCCCGACTGCGAAGCCAAATACTTGTAGATTAATCAAAGAGGCAGAACATTCATCACAAGACTTAAAGAACATTATAAGCAAGGAAGCGCTACACATGCATATCTCTCTTTGCCAATAATTTACTTCAGACAGACCACTTATTCAATGCACACACAGATATTCGTATACTGAAAATATTAAAATGAGAATTACACAATATTAACTTTAGAGATATTCATTTCATATTCATTAAACTGATAACCTACTGAATGAAAACATACTTGTAAACCATGATCCCTTCCCTCTGCTAAAATTATTATTAGACTCACCCTCACTCTCACACCACACTCATCCGGGGCTCCGCATAAACTACGCACTGCACCCAGGCCATTAACCCCGCCCCCTAGCTCAGTACTGAAACCGGGGGCCCACCCAAACACACGTAGTCGTTTTATGGTTTCCAAACAACAGGTAAAAAAAACATACATTTCATGTATCTGTTACTAAATATTACACATTTTCAATTTCATTTACTTTCTTCCATAGGTTCACGAAATTACTACAATATTTAATAATGATTTTTTTTCTAAAATAAAGTTTGTTCTCTAGAAGTATTTGCTTCATTAACATAATGTAAAATTTATTATAAATTATGTTGTATGAAATGTGAGTAATATTAAACAAATATTAAAAATACGATTGTCTCAAAAAATATGTCTT